TGCAGGCTGTTTTTTTTTTTTTTTTTTTTTTTTTTGGCAAAGCTAGCCTTTGTGCCAGCCAGTGTTTTTTTGAGTCAAACATTCTTAGGTTATCCCACGCCAGAGAGATCATCTAGTAGTCACCAGACCTTCCGTCCGTCCGTCCTCAAGGTTGAGGTTTGCACTCATATTAACCCACCTTTACGCTTCAAGGATTTCTTCGCGCACGTCAATCGGTTATTCGCAGCTGGAGCTGCGAGTCTTTTTCCTTTTGGCGGCCTTTCTCCGTACGGTTTATATCAAATGAAACCACCAATTAAATCTGTCTCCATGACCTCCAGCGAGCCATGTGCAGCCATCCTTGACGGTGCAGGCAGACACTTCAACCCAGTTTCCATTGGTCGCCGTGTGGAAGAATGGCGACTGACATTTCATTCGCCGCAATGAGTACTGACAAGCCAACCGTGTATGTTTAGTTTAGTGCTCCACCCCCCACCCCCCCCCGAGCACTTAATATGACCTCTGCCTGTTCATTTACAGTCCTGCATCTTGCCCGATTTCTTGGACTTTAAGTTCAGGGACGTCATTTGGGTAGGGCAGGGTATCAGCCCCTGAATTTGAAGGTTTTATTTAAATTGCTATGTACTCTGGAGCCTCCAGTAATAAACAGCTTAATAACAAGCCAACCAAGTTTTTGTTTTGAGCACCCCCCCATTTGGGTAGGGCAGGGTATCCGCCCCTGAATTTGAAAGTTTTATTAAAATTGCTATGTACTCTGGAGCCTCCAGTAATAAACAGCTTAATAACAAGCCAACCAAGTTTTTGTTTTGCCCCCCCCCCCGCCCCCAACTCAAAACACTTGATATGAAGCATCTGTTTAAAGGCAGTATGCGCTCTGGTGATTAAATTTTTTAAAAAGATGTTAATTTTTTTTTAAAAAACCTGATTTGAAGGAAACGTGTGAAAAAATGTATGGTAAAAAATGAGGAATAAGACGAAACTAAACAGTGAACGTGTCGGGAAGACGTCTTCTTCAGCAGCCAACAAACAAAGACTAAAAACACACAAAAATCAAAACTCAAGAAATGTTTTCTCAAATTACCCTGAAAGTGTCTGGCACAATGCCTACTCCAGGTGCAGAGAACACAACTGGACAGGACACTTGAAAACAAAACCACCGATCCAGAGTAAGACCTCGGGTCATGCCTCGTGCACTGACTAACCATGTCTGACCCATAACGTCAATGTCACTCTTCCCCTTCCTCGTGCACTGACTAACCATGTCTGACCCATAACGTCAATGTCACTCTTCCCCTTCCTCGTGCACTGACTAACCATGTCTGACCCATAACGTCAATGTCACTCTTCCCCTTGGTTCAATCTCTATGTTTATATTGGGCTACAAGATTAGTCTTGCTGCCATACAGTATACAGCCGCATAATGGACAGAATCCAGTCAACAAAATTTCAACTATTTTATTTTCCAAATATTAAACCAGTCAGTCAGTCAGCCTTTTTGTCGTCAATATAACTTATATTGGCACATAACGTAATGGTTTCTTTTTGTCGTCAAGTTTTCAAAGTAGGTTATATTGACACATAACGTAATGGTTTCTTTTTGTCGTCAAGTTTTCAAAGTAGGTTATATTGACACATAACGTAATGGTTTCTTTGTGTCGTCAAGTTTTCAAAGTACGTTATATTGACACATAACGTAATGGTTTCTTTTTGTCGTCAAGTTTTCAAGGTAGGTTATATTGACACATAACGTAATGGTTTCTTTGTGTCGTCAAGTTTTCAAAGTAGGTTATATTGACACATAACGTAATGGTTTCTTTTTGTCGTCAAGTTTTCAAAGTAGGTTATATTGACACATAACGTAATGGTTTCTTTGTGTCGTCAAGTTTTCAAATTAGGTTATATTGACACATAACGTAATGGTTTCTTTTTGTCGTCAAGTTTTCAAGGTAGGTTATATTGGCACATAACGTAATGGTTTCTTTTTGTCGTCAAGTTTTCAAAGTAGGTTATATTGACACATAACGTAATGGTTTCTTTTTGTCGTCAAGTTTTCAAGGTAGGTTATATTGACACATAACGTAATGGTTTCTTTTTGTCGTCAAGTTTTCAAGGTAGGTTATATTGGCATATAACGTAATGGTTTCTTTTTGTCGTCAAGTTTTCAAGGTAGGTTATATTGGCACATAACGTAATGGTTTCTTTTTGTCGTCAAGTTTTCAAAGTAGGTTATATTGGCACATAGCTTAATGGTTTCTTTTTTAAAATTAAAGCGCAATGAAAAAATGGGAGGAAGTGGGGGTGGAAAAGATTGTGTTGATATTAAGTTCAAAGAAACAGCATTGAAAAGAAGAGGAAATAATAAAAAAAACATTTATAAAAGGCGACAGTTACCGAGCTGCCACGTTTGTTACGCATGGACAGTTGTGGCTACCCTCTGATCTAAAACTTCTTTAAAATAGGCCTACAAAATCTAAGCCTTTCACAATGAAGGTTGTCTCTGGCGGGATAAATATAGCCACTCTTTGAGGGCGTCCATGACCTTGGCCTTTGTCAGTCACCGCATTTCGCTCCACTAGTTGGCCACTTTGCAGGCAGGGTTCCATGAAGGACTGATATAAAGACAGCGAACATTCAATATAAATAGTTTATAGTTTATGACAGTAAACAGACATTTCTGGTAAGTGACTTGATTTTACTACAGACTGAGTGACTTGATTGTACATACAGACTGAGTAACTAAACTGTTTATACAGATTGAACTACCAGATTGTAGCTGAGGACTGAATGATTAGATTGTAATTACAGACTGAGTGACTAGATTGTATCTACTACCGAGTGATTAGTTTGCACCTTCAGACTGAGTGACTAGATTGTATCTACTACCGAGTGATTAGCTTGCACCTACAGAACGAGTGCCTACTCTTCTGAAACTATGGGTCATTCAATGAAGCTATTCCGCCTTTAAAATCAAGTTCTTTACATTCCATGTGGCCAGCAGAATTTTATCACAGTTGTCAAAGTTTTTCTAATTTTATGTATTTGTTTATATTTTTGTTGATATGCAGTTTAACATAGATGTTCCATACAAATCTTGAATACAGTTTGACATAGCTGTTCCATACAAATCTGGTATACAGTTTGACATAGCTGTTCCATACAAGTCTTGCATACAGTTTGACATAGCTCTTCCAAACGAGTCTTGTATACAGTTTGACATGGCTGTTCCATACAAATCTTGTATACAGTTTGACATAGCTGTTCCATACAAGTCTTGCATACAGATTGACATAGCTGTTCCAAACGACTCTTGTATACAGTTTGACATAGCTGTTCCATACAAGTCTTCGATTCAAGTCTTGTATACAGTTTGACCTAGCTGTTCCATATAAGTCTTTACACAGTTGGACCTAGCTGTTCCATATAAGTCTTGTATACAGTTTGACCTAGCTGTTCCATATAAGTCTTTATACAGTTGGACCTAGCTGTTCCTTACAAGTCTTGTTCACAGATTGACAGAGCTCTTCTACCTTACAGTCTCCAAAATGCCGAGATTTTTTTGCCTGGTGGCTGTATCAGTGATTCTCACGCAGATCTGTGTGGATGCTTTCCCCCGTGATCCAAATCAGTTCAAGGGTTACAGATATCAACCGGGCGGCAACAGGAGAGGGCGTGGTGGCAATGCTCAAGGGGGCGCCAGTCGGAATGCACAGGGTAATCTGAACAATTAATGATAAAATTACATTATTTTGTTGAGTCAAAAAAGAACATTTGTTATTATTTTGTTCAAACTTTGGAGACAGACATTCGACATATCGAAAACAATTTGTCTCATTGAGTGAAATATAAATACTTTGAAATACTAACTTTGAAACTAAACCAAACAGAAGCGATCTATTCAAAGTATGGCAAACTCAAAGCTGCTAAATACAATCTCAGAAATGTACTGACATTTTGTTCAATGAATTACAAGGTGAGACTTTGCTTGATGTTTTTATGCCCTAGTCCACTGTACGGTTGTATGCCCTAGTCCACTGTACGATTGTCTGACATATGCCACTGATCTTATGTGTGCCCTATGCCACTGCCCGGTTGTGTGACATATGCCACTGTCCGGTTGTGTGCCCTATTTCACTGTACGATTGTTTGAGATATGCCACTGACCATTTGTGTGCCCTATGCCACTGTCTGGTTGTGTGCCCAATTACACTGTCTGGTTGTGTGCCCTATGCCACTGTCCTGTTGTGTGCCCAATTACACTGTATGGTTGTGTTCCTTATGCCACTGTCCGGTTGTGTGCCCAATTACACTGTCGGTTGTGTGGCCAATGCCTCTGTCCGGTTGTGTGCCCCATTCCACTGTCCGGTTGTGTGCCCTATTCCACTGACCGGTTGTGTGCCCTATGGCCATGTCTGGTTGTGTGCCCATTGCATTCACAGATGATATTTTTTTCAATTAATTCCACATCACAATTTTAGTCACATTAAAATTTAGAGCCCCCCCCCCTCCCCCTTGCAGCTCATGAAGTGAGTATAAAGTTGTTCCTTTCTGCACACCTTTCATGGGATAATCCGTGCGGTCAACTTAACACACAAAGAAAACATACGATTTATTTCAAGGAATATTATGTAGCAATGTTGTCTTTACATTTAAAATTCTATCTATAGCATTGATTTAAACAATTAACACTTATCTAGAGTATTGATAATGTAAGTTACTAAATTACAGTGTTAAAAGTGTCTGGAGACATAGTGAAGTGTGACTTAGTTTCTGTAAGACTTTAGCCGTGTCATCATTCTTTGATATTGTTCATGCCAGGATGTTCATCACAGCCAAGCAGGTCCTTCCTGAACTTTCTGGCAGTGCTCTCGGGCGACTACGGGCGCACACAGTTCAAAACTGGTGACGTGATCCAGGACACGCCCAGCAGTCTGCTGCTCAAACCTGTTTTTAGCCCCACCCTTCAGTGGGTCGGTAAAGTCAAATATTTACATAAATATACATAGGCATGTTAACATTTCAATTAACAAAAAACGCTACTGTACATAACTGGTCTATCCCAGTGCTGTGTCTAGAAATCTTTTTAAAAATACCCATGCACAATGGATGGTTTGTACATTATGGAAGGTTAATACATAATAAAAGGTTACACATAAAATAGGTTTATACATAACGGAAGGTTTGAATATAATAAGAGGTTTATACATAATGGATAGTTTAAACACAATAAAAGGTTTATACATAATGGAAGGTTTTTACCTAATTAAATATTTATAAATAAAGGAAGGTTTATACATAACGGTTACCGGAAATTTGATCGAATCTTTTTTCAGTTCACACTTTAAAATGTTCGTTAAATTTCTTTTTGAACGCACTTTACTATATAGAAAAAAACAAAATAATGCGTTCAGAAAGAAATTTGAAGCAAAATTTTAAAATAAAAACTGAAGATAAAAATAGATTCGACCAAATTTCCGTTCGATCAAATCACCGTCGATCAATTTACCGTGGACGACATTTCTTTCGATCTAATTTCCGGATACGATACATAACGGATGAAAACAGGCTCGAACAGAAGTAGTCCGTTACTTTGAGTTCATCTAATCTATGTTTGTGTATGTCCCGGTGTGTAGCAAAGAACAGAAGTCTGTGCCAGTGGGTCTTCTACTCAACATGGGCACTATGAAACACAATGGGTCCACAGAAGATTCCTTGTTTGGTGGCCACGAAAAATTTTAATAGTATGGGATATATATATATATATATATATATATATATATATATATAATTGTTTGAAATGTTTCTTAACAGAAACTGGCATACATATTAATCATTAATTATCCGGAATGAAATACTAGGAAAGAGAGGAGGGAGGGGGTGAACTTGACAAAATGATCCGTTTAAGACCGATGGTCCAAAATTTGTTTTGATTATTCTAAAATGAGCTTTGTAACTATGCTTTCAAACATAGCTGTTACAAGGTTACAAGGACAGGTAGATCTAGACAAAACTTAGTACAAGTACGGTACACTTAATTTTGATGCTACACAAAGGGCTGTAAACGTTGTTTTTTTTCTTCGAATGCAATCCCGGGCAACGCCGGTTTCATGTGCTAGTATTTATCTAAAAGATGTTTTAATATTAGTAACAGGAAAGAGTACACGGAAGGAAATAAATTCTTGTTAATTTGTAACGACTACAAAAATAATGGTTGGTCTTTGGGGAAGCAGGTCCTCTCTGTTCCTTTGAACACAATTTTAGGACCCCAATTTTAGGTTGTAAATGGCATCGAGTATTCTAAGTCTAATTTAAATAGCCCTTGATTGTCTTCTCACCAGGCTCTGTTGGCGGAGGAATACCTGTTATCCGATGTCGTTAGGCGGGGAATTCTTTCGTCGGTTCCAGATGCATCCACCAACCTCATCAATGTTTTCCCCTTCAACTTCACCAACGTCATTGCAAATTTGTGAGTCATTCTATTTATTGAACAGTTCATTTTACCCACGTCATTGCCATTTTTTAATTCATTCTATTTATTGAACTGTTCATTCAACGTCATTGACTTGGTATTTGTTACATCGAAATACAGTCAAGAAGATAAAGATAAATTTTAACTGCAAACTGCAAAGAGTAACTTAACTTTCTCGGTCTCTAGATGATTGGAACAAAATATAACTCAATGGAAACAAATATTTGAATTCATTTCATAAAGTAGAATCATACACACGTCATGTGTAAAATGTGAGTTATTGAATGTGACAGGTCAAATGTGAATTATTAAATGTGACAGGTCAAATGTGAGTTATTAAATGTGACAGGTCAAATGTGAGTTATTGAATGTGACAGGTCAAATGTGAGTTATTAAATGTGACAGTTCAAATGTGAGTTATTAAATGTGACAGGTCAAATGTGAGTTATTGAATGTGAAAGTTCAAATGTGAGTTATAAAATGTGACAGGTCAAATGTGAGTTATTAAATGTGACAGGTCAAATGTGAGTTATTGAATGCGACAGGTCAAATGTGAGTTATAAAATGTGACAGGTCAAATGTGAGTTATTGAATGTGACAGTTCAAATGTGAGTTATTAAATGTGACAGGTCAAATGTGAGTTATTAAATGTGACAGGTCAAATGTGAGTTATTAAATGCGACAGGTCAAATGTGAGTTATTAAAAGTGACAGGTCAAATGTGAGTTATTAAATGTGACAGGTCAAATGTGAGTTATTGAATTTATAGGTAAAATGTGATGAAGCTTCACATTCGGCTGATTGTCTATGAATATGTTAACAACGACAAGGAGAAGTTTTTAATAATTTAGTGGCCATCTTTGATTTAGTGGAAGCAGAGTGTTTATTTTTGGTCCCCGATTTTGTAAAGATAAATCTAACTCGTAATCCCTCCACCTGACAGTCGAATGGTGCACCGGACACCGGACAGTTTAAAATCGGCTATTGGACAACATATTTCAAATCAGTGCGCTAAATTCATGAATAATGTTCTGGGATTCATGTTTTCGAGAAGCAAGCATAAGATGAACAAATGTGTAACTACTGTCTTTTAGAGGTGGCCCCTTTGATGAGTCCGTGCTGAGCTGCCTGCGACCCTCTGACCTGAACTACACTCACACTTGTGACAGAGTTGTCGCCCCGACATCTGACCCTCTGGTGTTCAAGTTTACTAAATGGCCATTCTGCTCAACAACACACGATGTAAGAATTATTTTTACCCACCTACATACCTTCCTACATACCCACCTACCTCAGTCATCAGTACGCAGTCTCTATTAAATTATCTTATACCATTTTGAGCCCTCCCATCTACAGTGCTAACTTCCTCTCCATATTTCAGAATCCTCCCATCTACAGTGCTAACTTCCTCTCCATATTTCAGAATCCTCCCATCTACAGTGCTAACTTCCTCTCTATATTTCAGAACCCTCCCATCTACAGTGCTAACTTCCTCTCTATATTTCAGAATCCTCCCATCTACAGTGCTAACTTCCTCTCCATATTTCAGAATCCTCCCATCTACAGTGCTAACTTCCTCTCTATATTTCAGAATCCTCCCATCTACAGTGCTAACTTCCTCTCCATATTTCAGAATCCTCCCATCTACAATGCTAATTTCCTCTCTATATTTCAGAATCCTCCAATCTACAGTGCTATAGTCAACTGTACCCACATTGTTGTTACCTTTCATGACATCAGTGTTGTGGATACTATACCCCAAAACCAGTTGATTCAGTTTATTTTGATCAAGACGGCCAGGTGAGATATCAAATGCCACCATCACATTATAACTACACGTAAAACATTTTAACAAATGCGAAAGTCATAAGTGCAGGCGTTCTATTTATTTTAGGCTCCCAGTGTTACGTAACGTGATTAGCACCACGAGTACTATGCAGTGACGCTGGTTGTACTGCTACTATACTAGGGCTATGATTTTATCTATTAGTCAACACTCTAAGCTGACTATCACCACCCTCACATCCAACGGCACTCTCACTCACACACTTTTAATACTATTACTATATGACTATAAGAACACAGGTGGTTCATCCCGCGCATAATACATATTTAATTAAAAGAAAAATTAACTACCGGTACACACATATTATTACATATAATATAAACATTTAAAGAACAAAGATATATACTGTCTAATACTAATTGCTATGTACTAAGTTACGACTGGCTGGTTATCTCTTCCTCGGTAAGCAAGTCAGGGCCAAATCACACACACACACACTGCAGTAGTCTTGTTTGTTTAGCATCCCCCTCTCTCTGGTCACTCGCACTGCACGTCTCTGGTCACTCGCACTGCACGTCTCTGGTCACTCGCACTGCACGTCTCTGGTCACTCGCACTGCACGTCTCTGGTCACTCGCACTGCACGTCTCTGGTCACTACTGCACGTCTCTGCTCACTCGCACTGCACGTCTCTGGTCACTCGCACTGCACGTCTCTGGTCACTCGCACTGCACGTCTCTGGTCACTCGCACTGCACGTCTCTGGTCACTCGCACTGCACGTCTCTGGTCACTCGCACCGCGACGTGAGAGGTGTAGACTCTAACACTTGAACGGTGGCGCACACACGCGGCCTGGCCGGCCGGCGGAAGTCTGGTGATCTCCTGTATGTAGCCCTAATCTACACTTGAATTCTTTAATTAGGATGTCAGCGTTAGTCTAGCCACTAACCGACTGACCTCAATTTAACTCATCTGAACTGATCTATGCTGGACTAGACTCAACTGTACTCGTTTATACTATACTGTATACTATACTAGCTGTCTACTATACTGGCTAGAAATGAGAATAATGAATACAGCACATAAGACATAACTAAGACATATGAATCACATCACATCATTATCATACGCTAACTAACAATACAAACATTTCTTAATCAAGACTACACATGGAAATTAAAGACAACTAACCTAGCAAATTAGGAATAAACAAATTTCACCACAATACTCTAGCTCAGTGGTTCTCAACCTTCACAATGCCGCGACCCTTTAATAAAGTTCCTCATGTTGTGGCGACCCCCAGCCAAAAAAATATTTTTGTTGCTATTTCATAACTGTATAGCATATGTGATTTCAGATGGTCTTAGGCGACCCCTAGGAGAGGGTCGTGCGACCCCCAAAGGGGTCGAGACCCACAGGTTGCGAACCGCTGCTCTAGCTAGTCAGGCTCTGCTGCCCAATGACAGGTAAAAGCGAGAGTGGGTAGCGTCCTGCGCTCCCTTTTATACCGTGCCTGTGGCGTCAGCGTGGGGCACGCCTTGGCCTTGACCAGAACGCTCCTTGTTTCAGCTGGGTCATGGTCAAGGTGACAAGGTCAATGCCCATTGTTAGTAATGTTAGGCCAAGCCTAAGTGTGCAATATCACTTGGAGTAGGGAATGGAGAGCGTGTGACCTAGCGGGTCTCAAAAAGGTGAGAACCAGCGGTTCTCAACAGCAGGAGAAGGCTGAATATCTTTCCTTTGAAACAAACAAACAATCAAATTAAAATGGACCAAAGTATATTAATGAATGCAAATGTATTGCTTCTCCGGTGTAGTGTGAGGAAATTGAAGTAGTTTTTTGAAGGTCCTTATTGAAATATCTTTTTTTTTCCTTACCAATAAGTTCAATAGAAAAATAAAATTGTATTTGTATTCTGCCCATCCCACTAAATTAAGTTTCGTCAAGAAATAAAATATTTAAAAATTAATGAAAACACAAGTGAGAATAGATGAAATAGTCAATAATTTTTGTTAAAACTTTTTCCCCCAGCTTCCCATTGCTACCGTCATGGACCAAAGGAAGCGGAAACCGTCCCAATCCGTGTCCGCCAATTTAACTACCCCAGCATTGTCGGACTGACCAGATGCTGTCGTTTGATGTATGCCTCCTAAACTGGACTCTCTAAAACAAATTCATTTTAAAATATTCAATTTATCATTTCTCACAATCGATTTTTGTGTGTTTTACTTTACATTTGATTGTTTGTTTCCTGCACATCTTGTTTTGATTCTTTAATAATCACAATATGTCTACGTCACTGTCAACAACCATTTATTGATTCTAGTTAATATCAGACAGTATGATACAGTTATTTGACTTAAAGGAAATAAGCTAAACAGAGTAGGATATGTCCGATAAAGCGATACATTTAAGTTAGGCATATTGTTATATGTTGACTAGATTTAATTTTAAAACAAAATCTTTTTAAAAGTGTCTTGTCATGCTAAATGGTTTTCTCTATGGAATAAACAGTGGAACAAGACACTTTCAATACGATTCATCATTTAATTAACAAAATATAAAGAAAATAATAATAATAAAACTCCTTATGACATAGATATATGAAAAATTATTTCAAGCAGTGGAAGGGAGATGGGGGGGGGGGCGGTACGCTATGGCAACGCCGACCTCTAGGTTGTGCGACTGTGCACTCGCACAGGGCGCCGTGGCCATAGGGGTGCCTGGGGCGCCAAGTAAATATTTAAATTCCCTTAGTAAATTATAGTGAGGTGGAAACCTTGGGTCCAGGGTTGCGAAACCCTGTTCTAACTTTTCGTACACGGCGTGTGCTTAGGGCGCCATGTGCTTAGGGCGCCATGTGCTTAGGGCGCCATCAACGATCTTCCAGAATAGGAAAAATCATTCCATGTGGGTGCCATGGAAGAAAAATAGAAAGTGCAATAAAAAAGATATTCTGATACAAGTTAACAAAAACAATTTTATTCTTTTTTGTTTCTTAAAAAAAAAAACAGGTAATAAACTCATCGCTGTATAATTAGTTTTTCCGTTAACGATTCTATTTAAAAGGGGCGCCAGCCACCGTCTGCCCAGCCGCCTGGCCATGGTCGGTGGCATTTTTTATAGTAAGTGGGGCGAGGGGATTTTTGAGCCAGCTGCAGAGTTTTTTCCATGGAAGGTACAGTCTAAAAGGCTTTGCCTGCCCCGGTTGGCACCAACCCTAGCAACACCACTAATAACAAGTCAGGTACCGCAATTGGCAGCCTTCCCCGGTTGGCACCAACCCTAGCAACACCACTAATAACAAGTCAGGTACCGCGAGTGGCAGCCTTCCCCGGTTGGCACCAACCCTAGCAACACCTCTAATAACAAGTCAGGTACCGCGAGTGGCAGCCTTCCCCGTTTGGCACCAACCCTAGCAACACCACTAATAACAAGTCAGGTACCGCGAGTGGCAGCCTGGCCCGGGTGGCACCAATCCTAGCAACACCTCTAATAACAAGTCAGGTACCGCGAGGGGCAGCCTGCCCTGGTTGCCACCAACCCTAGAAACACCACTAATAAAAAGTCAGGTACCGCAAGTGGCAGCCTGCCCCAGGGGGCACCAACCCTAGCAACACCACAACTAACAAGTCAGGTACCGCGAGTGGCAGCCTGGCCCGGGTGGCACCAACCCTAGCAACACCTCTAATAACAAGTCAGGTACCGCGAGTGGCAGCCTTCCCCGTTTGGCACCAACCCTAGCAACACCACTAATAACAAGTCAGCTACCGCTAGTGGCAGCCTGCCCCGGTTGGCACCAACCCTAGCAACACCACTAATAACAAGTCAGGTACCGCAATTTGGATAAAGTCTGTTGGAGTTGGTTTTCTGCAGCGGCGGGAAGAACATGTCCTAGATTTCTTCTGCCCAGTCTGGTCGGTTTATCACCGGGCCGATTTGCACAAACGACCCCCCAGTTTGGGAGGTGAGTGTAATCCCTGAGGAGGTGAGTGTTATCCCTGAGGAGGTGCGTGTAATCCCTGAGGAGGTGCGTGTAATCCCTGAGGAGGTGAGTGTCATCCCTGAGGAGGTGAGTGTCATCCCTGAGGAGGTGAGTGTCATCCCTGAGGAGGTGAGTGTCATCCCTGAGGAGGTGAGTGTCATCCCTGAGGAGGTGAGTGTCATCCCTGCGGAGGTGAGTGTCATCCCTGAGGAGGTGAGTATAATCCCTGAGGAGGTGAGTGTAATCCCTGAGGAGGTGAGTGTCATCCCTGAGGAGGTGAGTGTCATCCCTGAGGAGGTGAAGGGGCCAAGAGAGGATATTTTTGTTGATGCGTTTTGTGATGAGAAGAAATCACTCAAATAATGTGAGTAATGTTTGCTCAAATTTGGATTTTTTTTAAAACAAAGATGTAATAATATTGAGTCAGTTGGTAATGTGAGCCAAGGGTTCCCATATTTTGAGAGCCAGCTATGGAGATAAAATGATTTTTATTAGCCATGTCATTGTAACTGTTTAATTTCATTGCTTTGATTTTTTTTTCATTGTCGTACATGATTTTTATGTCATGAATTGTCATTGAATTATGTACGAATGGTTGGTTTCGTCGATTGTGGTGAGCTTAAGGCTTACACCAATGGTGTATCAATTCCCTGTTCAATTTTCAGAAATGTTTTACAAAATTGGTACAGACCATTTCATTTTTCCAAGGTTTCTAGCGACTAGGTTTAGGGGAATTTTTTGTTGTGGGTTTCGATTTAACTCGGTGGGTTCAATCTGAGATGAATATGGTGGAGTGGGGGGGGGGGGGTTTGAGGAGGTATGTCGAGAATGGGAGTTCACTTCTAATGTTTGCGCATTGGATATCGCGTGTATTGTCCGTGGTGGGTTTATCATGAGATTTATTAGTTAAGGAACGCCTCCCCACATTTTACTTAGGGACGTATGCTTCGGGAAATTATAATGTACTAGACATAGCCCGCCAGACATTGGGGCTGTCTTGGCATATAGGGAGATCTCCAGCGTGCCGCTTCGAGGCCCGGTACTCGTGCTTAGGGGTAACTTTGGGGGGTTGCATTTGGAGCTTGGTGCTGGCTTGGCGTTCGCTACTGTACAATTGATAGGACACTGGTCGCACCAATGGATGGAAGGTGCTGGGTCATGTATCAGCGAGTCGTTAGGAGGACACTGGTCGCACCGATGTATGGAAGGTGCTGCTTCATGTATCAGCGAGTCGTTAGGAGGACACTGGTCGCACCGATGTATGGAAGGTGCTGCTTCATGTATCAGCGAGTCGTTAGGAGGACACTGGTAGCACCGATGGATGGAAGGTGCTGGGTCATGTATCAGCGAGTCGTTAGGAGGACACTGGTGGCACCGATGGATGGAAGGTGCTGGGTCATGTATCAGCGAGTCGTTAGGAGGACACTGGTAGCACCGATGTATGGAAGGTGCTGGGTCATGTATCAGCGAGTCGTTAGGTACCAACGGCCTTTTACATTCATAAATTTATATTTAGCTTCGCACTGAGAGATGACTGTACTGATTAACATTAAATTGACTGTAAAAATGAGCCCTAAACTCTGATGTATGCTTTCCAAAGCTTTTCATTAACAGAAACTAGTGAGGTTTTTAGGTCATAGACAGCAGGCTTTGAAAAGACTGCCAGTAAGCACAAAGATTGCTTCACATATTTTACCAGTGAGGACGCTACACTTATAGAAGTGTTGCAAAATGACAATCCTACTTTGAATAGTTCAGGCTTGACTTGTTGACATTCAATTCAGGCTGGACTTGTTGACATTCAATTCAGGCTGGACTTGTTGACATTCAATTCAGGCTGGACTTGTTGACATTCAATTCAGGCTGGACTTGTTGACATTCAATTCAGGCTGGACTTGTTGACATTCAATTCAGGCTGGACTTGTTGACATTCAATTCAGGCTGGACTTGTTGACATTCAATTCAGGCTGGACTTGTTGACATTCAATTCAGGCTGGACTTGTTGACATTCAATTCAGGCTGGACTTGTTGACATTCAATTCAGGCTGGACTTGTTGACATTCAATTCAGGCTGGACTTGTTGACATTCAATTCAGGCTGGACTTGTTGACATTCAATTCAGGCTGGACTTGTTGACATTCAATTCAGGCTGGACTTGTTGACATTCAATTCAGGCTGGACTTGTTGACATTCAATTCAGGCTGGACTTGTTGACATTCAATTCAGGCTGGACTTGTTGACATTCAATTCAGGCTGGACTTGTTGACATTCAATTCAGGCTGGACTTGTTGACATTCAATTCAGGCTGGACTTGTTGACATTCAATTCAGGCTGGACTTGTTGACATTCAATTCAGGCTGGACTTGTTGACATTCAATTCAGGCTGGACTTGTTGACATTCAATTCAGGCTGGACTTGTTGACATTCAATTCAGGCTGGACTTGTTGACATTCAATTCAGGCTGGACTTGTTGACATTCAATTCAGGCTGGACTTGTTGACATTCAATTCAGGCTGGACTTGTTGACATTCAATTCAGGCTGGACTTGTTGACATTCAATTCAGGCTGGACTTGTTGACATTCAATTCAGGCTGGACTTGTTGACATTCAATTCAGGCTGGACTTGTTGACATTCAATTCAGGCTGGACTTGTTGACATTCAATTCAGGCTGGACTTGTTGACATTCAATTCAGGCTGGACTTGTTGACATTCAATTCAGGCTGGACTTGTTGACATTCAATTCAGGCTGGACTTGTTGACATTCAATTCAGGCTGGACTTGTTGACATTCAATTCAGGCTGGACTTGTTGACATTCAATTCAGGCTGGACTTGTTGACATTCAATTCAGGCTGGACTTGTTGACATTCAATTCAGGCTGGACTTGTTGACATTCAATTCTGGCTGGACTTGTTGACATTCAATTCAGGCTGGACTTGTTGACATTCAATTTAGGCTGGACTTGTTGACATTCAATTCAGGCTGGGCTTGTTGACATTCAATTCAGGCTGGGCTTGTTGACATTCAATTCAGGCTGGACTTGTTGACATTCAATTCAGGCTGGGCTTGTTGACATTCAATTCAGGCTGGACTTGTTGACATTCAATAGCTGATTATTCCATGAATGAACGTGTTACAAAAACCAAGTTACATTCAATCGTTACATTCAATCGTTACATTAAACTCCAGTGATGAGGTTCTTAATGGCTTTTTATGAGAATCTTTGAGGGGGTGGGGGCAAGGGAGGGGGATAGCTTTAGATCAGTTAATGGCCCCAAAGGCTGAGGTCAGAAAAGAAAATTTTAGAAATATTTTATTTCATGATTCCAGGTGTATCAGACGGGAAACATTTCAAAAGATTCTATATGAGTCAATAACCGTAGACTTTTCTCGGTCCCCGACTTTTGCTTCACTAGTTGGCCACCCTGGGATTTTCCATGATTGACAGATAGGACAGGGGGTCATACTGCTCTATTATGTCACCATGCATGACTTGTTACGTAACAAACATGGCTCGGGTCACACTGGTCTAGTTGGTTAACTTGACATAAGATTTAATATTTTTCTTCTCACTGAATTTAAAATGTTTCAATTAAAGTGGACCAGGTAACTCTGGAGTAAAGGCTATATCATAAGCTATTCTCGAAGTGGATCGGGTCACTCTGCAGTTAAGACCATAGAATAAGCTACTCTTAAAGTTGACAAGGTCACTCTGGAGTAAAGAACATAGAGTAAGCTATTCTTGAAGTGGACCCTTTCACTGTGCAGTTAAGACCATAAAATAAGCTACTCTTGAAGTAGACAAGGTTACTTTTGAGTAAAGACTATAGAATAAGCTAC